CCTCTAATGAACCCGTGTTGGTTGCCACTAAGCATAATCTCCCCTGCTGGCCCCTCGTGGACATGTGCCAGAGTAATTCTCTCAAAAAGCTTACCCAGGATCAAGGTAAGACTAACTGGCCTATAGTTCCCTGGGTCCTCCTTCCTCCCTTTTTTGAAGATGGGAACCACATTGGCCCTCTTCCAGTCCTCTGGCACCACACCAGAGCACCACGAGTGCTCATAAAGCCGTGCCAGGGGTCCCGCAATGAACTCAGCTAATTCCCTCAGCACTCTGGAGTGGAGATCATCTGGACCAGCTGATTTAAATACATACAGTCCCTCCAGAAGTTCCCTGACTAGATCCTCCCCGACCCTTGGCCTGGGTGTGCCTCCCCTGGGGCCTGAGGGGGGCCCGGTGGGGGGGGCTGATCCAGTCCCTGCTCATGAAAATGGAGACAAAGAAGTTGTTAAATAGTTTAGCTTTGTCGTCTGGTGTGATGACTAAATTTCCTAGCGTGTCTTGCAGGGGCCCTACGTTACCCCATGTACCTTCTTTTTGCCCCCTATGTATTTAAAGAAAGGACTTCTTGTTGTCCTTGATCTGGGCAGCTAGTCCCAGTTCCATCTCCACCTTGGCCTTCCTGACCGCCCCTGCATCCCCGAGCAACTGCAGTATAGTCCTCCCTGGTGATGGCCCCTCCCTTCCTGCGGGTGCATGCCTCCCTTTTAGCTAGAAGACATTCCCAGATGCTTTTGGTGAGCCATGGGGGTTTTTGTGCCCTCCTGCTCCCTTTGATCCATGTTGGGATTACCTCACAGTGATGGCTAGAACCCCTGCAACGTGCCAAGTGCCCCATGCCAGAGCCAGAGCTCCCATTGCCACATCCCCCATGCCATAGTGGCAGCTCTGGCTCTTGGTCCGGCTCCAGCACGGGGCACACAGCAGTGGCCAAGAAGCTGGGGCTGTGACAGTGGCAACAGGTGAAGTGACTGGGTGGTGACTGGAACCAGATGGAGCACTCTCATTTGCCCTCCTGCTGCCAGACTCCATGCCCCACCTGGATTTTGCCACAGGTCACAATCCCTGTTCATGCCTCCCTACTTGTGGTGGTCTGTCGGGAGTCCAACATGCTGAAACCAGTCTGTAGATTTGATTTTTGACACCCTTGTTGTACTTCGTTCATAAAAGTGGGGAATACAACCCCTGTCTGCCCTCTAGAAAAAGAGAACACACTGTAAACATGCGTACCAGATGGAGCAAGATCATCCTGTTATGACATAATTTATGGATCCCAACAGAACTTCAATGTGAGATAGACAGCACACTGTTCAGCATCATCCAGACAATGGCACATTTGGGATTGCAAGTCACACTACAGTACTTCAGGTGGCATGCCCCCCACTGTGCAGAAATCCTATGCACAATCCATGCCCAGCTACTGTCTCCTTCAGAGCTTAAGTAGGACTTTAGTGTATAGACCTTTTGCCCAGGGGAGAATTTCCCCCTAATGTTTATTTTCAGCAAGCATCCTGAACAGATAGCACTAAACCTAAGGGCTGAGAGTGTAAGCCATTTCTGACTAGCAAACCTTAGTTTAGAAAACCTGTTTTATTTTCCTAATAACTAAATGAACTTCCTGTACTAGCTTCATGAATGGAGATTAATATGCTGCTGGGATCATTGCCCAGTCACTTCTGCCAACACAGGAGCCATTCCACGAGACGAGTTCCTCTGACTCCTGGGTAAGATTTCAATATATTTCCATTTATAAGTTATAATCTTTCCAGCCCATGGCTAACTGGTAATATACTGGGCCTACAGGAATGTAGAAGCAGAAGCAATTTGCCATACTAATTCATCTGCCACAGTGGCAGCATCAAAATATCCCCTTTTAAATATTTATGGATAACTAAATCATCCCCTGTTGCAGGGAAGTATGTAATAGTGAGAGAGTCTGTCCTTTGCATCATTCTAGTTAAGATGTTAAATTCTAAATGTATCTTAAGGAAACTTCACTAGCAACATTTTGCACAGCACACTCTTTCACATCTAAAGCCTGGTCACAAACCTGGACAATGCATCACTTAGTCGCTGATCCTGCAGGCAAACCCTTGGGCTTCCATAGAGCACCAATTAATTCAATATGGAATCACAAAAGTTCGGGGTTCTGCTGGTCTGGAAAACCTTGAAGATTAAACCTTAGTTATCATTTGACTGAGCTTCCCCTTTGTAATGAATTGTTCTTCACAAACCAATCCCTTCCCTAATGGGAGCAGTAATAAAAAAATCACTGTTTATAAACCCCTTTTATCTAAAAATCCCGAAGTACTATGCAAAATGTGACACCAATCCTCCAAATAAATACCAATGCTTTGCTGTAAACCCACGAGTAATTTCACTGACAGTTCTTGTGAGGAAAGTTATACATTTTGGGTATCACTGTGATATAGAAAATTAGTGGATAAACTGACCTACCTTCTAGTAGCCATAGCTCTAGTACATTTGTACAGTGTTTATGACCAATACTGCCCAGCATGTACTGAATGTGGATACTCCAGGATGCCCATTAAACACATTGAAAAATGCAAGCTGATTACATAGGCAGCTTTTTAATGAATAGGATCTATAGATTTCTTTCTCTAGAATCTCATAAAATACATGGAAGTCTTAATTATAGCTGAAGTTATCTGAACTATTTTGGCCTTTGATTTTATAATACAATATGTAGTTCCTGTTGGCGTAATAAACCAATAAGTTTAGTATTTGTCATAAATGAGTTAAATTTATAAGGTTATCAAAATACCTCCGAGTTCCTGTTAATGTTTAGGAAACATTTCTGAAATATTTTAGGTCTTTCACCAAAAAAAATTGCTACACCTTGTACTGAGCTTCTATTAGACCAAAATCTTAACATAATCAGGAGTCCAGCTTCCTGCACCAGTCAAACTCATGGAAATATCACGTATGTGGATGCAACAGGTAGAGGAGAAATTGAATGATACAAGACCACAACTTCAGCTATAATTTATGGCTTGGCGCTTGGTCTGACCTACTCAGATTTTATAGCAAGGATGCCTGGACCTAAAAACCTTGTTCGAATGTAAGCTATCTGGAAGGGCTGGGGAAGAATGGTTGGCCATTGTGTGGGCCTGCTGATAGCCCTATAGATCTGCACCATCAAGCTGATAGGGAGCTGGTATACTTGTTTCATATGGTTGTTGAAAATTGATATGCAGCTAGTGCAATTTGGAGTACTGCTACAAAGTGCTCATTGCCTACATTTGCTGATCAAAACTCTGCTTCATGCTGCTGCTGTAGCTGTTGCTTTGGGGTGATGATCATTATAAATCCACATGCAAAGAGAGAGGTGTTAATCTAACTCAGAGATAATGAATACATTAGGGCTGCCAACTCTGTTTGAATCTATTCCGGGAAGTTTCATCACATGATGTAATGACATTAATGGCTTTGCGTCAGGAAGGCAAATGCACATTACTATAACATTTTAAAAACTAGCTGGAAAACTGGATAAATCAGATTCAACATTTAATATTTATCTTAACGTTTGCCCTATCATTTATCTCCTGGGTGACTCTCCGCAGTTTCCTGGAGATTTATCTCTAATTCCTGGAGACTCCAGGGCAATCCCGGAGGGATGGCAACCCTGGAATACATGGATGACAGTCATAAAATGCCCACAGGCATGCTCTGCTGGTCAGCTAAAGGTGGTTAAAAACTGCCCCTTTTCACCAATTCCATTAGCATTCCCTTCACTGGTGCCTGCAAAACCCTGAACCTACACAACCATCTTAAAAAAACAAGCCATGGTGGGAACTCGAGCTTTAGTTACTGATATTATATTACTAAGTATGTGAAATGAAGAATCATCTGATTCTACTTTTAACATATATAAAAATATGATAACCAAAGTTAAAGAATTGCCTGGTAATGTTTTGTTGTTGTTTTTTTGACAGAAAAACAGTAAAATACTCCTGTCAAAATACTAAACACCACATAAAGGAGTTACAGATGCTGTACTTAGGTGGATTAGCTAAAGTATGGTATAAATGCTAGTTTCTTGAAACTCTATCCCCAAGGCGAAAATATAAAGTTCCATGGTAGTTATTTTTTTTCTGCTCCTCGACAAAAACAGCTTCAAAAATATGATGCACATGAAGTGTTATATTTTTAAACTATGTTGGCTTTTGGCTAAGTATATGTTTTCTATTGACATTCACACCATCATCTGAGATACGTTAATTTAGGATAGGCATCTACTGTAGTCAGCTGTTCACTAGAATTTATACATGCATACATCCAAGGCCTTTCATTCCCTATAAGCCTGAGGAACATTGTGGATATTGGCTATTCAGCACTGCAGTTGGTCAGCTTATGGTAGGCTGTTTTTTCATTTCAGTTTCTGCAAGTCCAAACCACAATGATCCACAGGGGGATTAGAGCATATATTAATGAGTTCTCGTGCCCCTGTGAATTTCTCTTTCTAATTTGCCAGAATTTTATGTACCCCCTCAGTGACCCCAGAAGTGATATTTTCTTCCATCTGGTACAGTTGTTTCATGTTAATACATTGGTTTGAATATAAAACATAGGAATGCTGGTTAGCACAAAACCTAATGAAGGCTTGGGATCTTTATTTTTTTTTCCTTAAAGAATGACTCCACTCGTATAGTTCAATCCAACACCAAAATTTCAGATGTTACACATGAATACATTTCAGATGTTCAAATCTGAGCCCTTTAAGTCAGGCAAATAAATCCATACTCAGGAACCTTGTACTCTTGCCTGAGCACAGAGGTGTAACCCTCGGGGCCGTCCTCTCCTGGTTGCCTCACTCCTACTGCAGACTTATCACTGTCAGTGGTCTCGCTTGCCATGACGTGATGGAATATGATGACTAGGGACAGTTTCACCAGTGGAACAGGCTCCCGAGTACGTGGCCCTTTTCTGGACAGGGGTCCGCACAGCCCCCATCCAATATTATTCTAGTTGCACCTAGTAGCTCTGAGCTTGCTATTCAGGGCTTCAGGCTTCAGGCACAGCACAGCCTGTTGGAGGCTTGTAGCTGCCAAGCTAGACCGTGTTGCTGCTTATCCGTCTCAGCAGGCACTTCCTGGCTGAGCTCAGAGCCAGTACCGTGCACCCGACATGACCTATGCCAGCATCTCCTGGCTGCTCTTAGTGACTCGCTCAGTCTTTGTGCAATCTCTGTTCCTCTTCTCTACAATCCAGCCCATTTCCCAGAGTCAAAGCTGAGCTGCAGTCATGAGCAGCAGTCTAATTATGGGCGTGTGTGCTCTGTCAGGGTTCACTTCACCCAAGACTGACACCAGAATCACAACTGAAAGCAAAATAAAACAAACACAAGTCTGGGAACTTACCTGGTTCCTCCATACAACATCTTCCATCATCCTACGGCAGCCAGCAATTTCAACTCTTTCCCTGATGCTGACTCCAGCTGCCTGCCTTGGCCCCAGGAGCGCCCTCCCTTTGGGCTCCTTCCGCCTCTCTCCTCTCAGGTCTGGATGGCTCGAGCCTCACATGTTGTGGCAGTGGGTCACCTGAGCCCTCCACTTCTGCCCTGAGTAATTCCCACACCCTACACTTATATGGCTTCTGCTGCCTCAGCCTCAGCCGCACCTGGAAGTTAATTAACCTTGACCATGTGATGAAGGTAAGTAGGTGAGCATGCATGTGTGTGCGCATGTGTGTGTGGAGCAACAGGAACTGAGCACAGAGTGGGGCAAGGGACAGGGAGGTGCTGACCCAGGAACAAACAGGGGAGGTCATGTCCACATTGCAGTGAGAAGGGAGAGGGAAGCTAGGTGGTAAGAGAAATCGGGGGAGAGCAGGAGCAGGAGAGACAAGCAGCGAGAGAAAGCTCTGAGTGTCTTCATCTCCCTAGCAATGGGGAAGAGGCCCTATTACAAACCTAAACAATTAGCCTGATTTTTCAAAGACACTGAATGTAAAAAATGTTTAATACACAAAAGCGCTGGTTAGAGACTGACTTGTATTTCCTGCTTCCAGTTAATTGACATGGGGTGGGAGTTTCTTAGGACTGGGTAGTGGCCAATATCTATGGACTGCAATGGCTGCTGTTATACTGTTCCCATCAAAACAAGGTGCCATGGAGACACAGTTAGCCTATTCTTCTTCAAAAGCAGATGACTTCTACTTAGATTTTTATTTGGACAGTCGTTTCCATTCAAATAGCTGTTCTCATACAGGGAACTGAGTACATATTGGATGAAACTATGGACTAGTGCTGTTCCCCATGCAGAATTCCCATTAAAGGCAATAGGAATGAGTGCATTTTTGAGGCAGAGTTCAGCCTACTGTTCTCTCTTGTTGAGAATATATATTTGCTTACCTTGCTTCCTTGTGACCTCCATCTGAATAATTAAAAAAAAAGGGTACCTTTGTTCTGAGGTGAATGAAAACCCCAACAATGATAATGTCTACTAATGTAACAATTAAGAAGTCTGCTAGATGGAAAAGAAAAAAATAAGTATATGGTAGACACAAAAATGAGTAAGTAGATAACCATATATGGCAATATGTATAGGCTAGACACTAAACATATTTGGCAGAAATGCATGTCAAGAATCCTTATCCAGAGCCAAAGCCTCACACACAAAAAAACCAAATTTAGCACAAGTTTCCCTATCCTAGTTGCATGCCAAGTATATTTTTTAGATACATCTGCTCCTCCATCCCATTCATTCATCACTAAACACATCTCAGGAGGGTTTATGTCACCTGATTTCATGACATGAAGCTTATTCCTCCAACAAATGTATAATAATAAAGCACATTGCTGAGTATTAAAATGTGTTACTACATGTGGCACACATCTGTGGTACATGACAATACACTTCACTCTCATACAGGAAAACAAGACAGCTAGCCTTGCAAAATCTATTCTGTCCATCTTTAAAACACCCGTTTCAGAAATGCAGGTGCAAAGCAGCATACTTCTATAAACACTGACCATAATGGGTTGGTCACCAGTGAGTGATGCAACTGCTCTGGACACACGGCACCTTAAAAGAGAGGTAACCAGTATGGAGTGGCATGGGCATATACCGGTAAGCTTGCTGACTTAAGTGGCTTATTGGTGACTCCTCAGTGCCAAGGCAGTAAGTAATGCAGTTACACTGCATGTGTTCTGGATGCGAGCCATGCTTCTTTGTGGCACTCTCTAGCACTGTGTGGAGGTGGGATAGCCATGCCCTTAAAGTGCTTCAAGGGGAAATTATTCCATTACATTGTTCTTGGAGCTGCCACTGGAAAGTCCATCTAAAGGAATCACATCTTATTGGGACAATTCCAGGAGATCTTACTCATTTTTTACCCTGTATGGTAGTTTTTTATTCATTTTCCATTTTGTTACTATCCCCTTCTTTCCCATTGGCGTTCTCTCCTTTGTTCTTTTGTCACAGCCTCATTTAGGCAGAACACCAACAGAAAAGCACTCAAGCCTTATGTTTAACTCAAACATGGTTCAGATGATTTGAAATTAGGCAAAATGAGTTCATTTATTTCCCAAACAGCCCTGTTTACTTGAGATTTGCTCTTACACACTGTGAGCCAAGTCATAAACATGAATATTTGATGCAAATGCTCTTACGGCCCATAAACTGGGTATGATGCTAAACAGCAGTGAAGAAACTCTGAAGTTTCTATAGTATCCAGTTAGCACAGAAGGACCAACAACTGTGACCATTGATTACAAAAAGGGCCAGACTTTTACCCTTCCAACTTTGATCTGATTTTAGATATGCATCGTCTATCTCCTTCACTGTCCCTCACAGCAAGAGGGAAATTATTTTACATTTACATACATTAAAAATTGCCAAGAAATATGTAGTTACTAAAAATATTCCTTCACGAGGGTTTGATTATTTTTTGTTCAAAGACACCATCCAGATTTCCCTCTTATTTCTTTCACTAAAGCCCACAGTGGTGATTCTCTTCACAGTAGTTTTACACCGCACAATCATAAAATCATAGAAAACTAGGGCTTTAAGGGACCGCAAATGATCATCTAGTCCAACCCCGTGCTCAAGGCAGGATCAGAAGAAGCATCAAAACTCCATTTGCTCCAATGATTTTTTACTGGTATAAGTGAAAAAAGAACCAAGCCTGTTGTTTCATTCATTTTGAAGTAATGTTTACTACAGCCTAGATTGTTAGGTCCACATCTTCAATCATTTCTATCTGTGGGCTCATATAGGGACATTCAAGTTAATTCATGGGTGGATTTAAAATGGATTAGTTAAACCTCATTAAACTCCTACGTGGATGTTCTTTTTCAGAATGTAACTTGGCTTAATTCAATTCATCACAATTCACTTTGAAAGTGAATTAAGCTCGCTCAACTCAAAGCGACTAAATAATTAATTTAATTAAATTTAATTGATTTAATGCAGTTTAATAAATCTACCTTAAACATTCATTCATATCATCTTTTCTGTGTGTCCCTATGTAGAAAAGCTCTAGGGTACAAGTACATAAAGTGCAATGTTTTCTGACCCTTTCAAGTTGCACCTACAGAAGTTATATGCATGTATGTATGATTTCATGCCTAAATACCTGGTTGCTCATGTTGGGTGTGATTCTCCACTGCTGCACCTCTGATATACCACCACTGATTCACACCACTAACAAATTCAAAATGCTCTTAGGCTTGATTTTCATTTCCACTGAAATCTGGTAGTGTAATGAGGCCTAAAAGAGAGTGTATGTTTCATGTAGACTCTTTAAGGCCCCTGTAATGCACCAGGAGAGGTAAGGGGGATCTCACATAGCTGAGAGTCAGACCCCCGCCATTCTGATGAGGTGGAGATTTACACTTGCTTTGTACATAATCAGCTACACAAGGTGCATCAGGCACTGGAGAATGAAGTCCACATTCTACAGGCGGAACACATTTGTCTTATGTCACTATAGTATGTAGAGTTGCATCAGAGATGTTTTTCCTATTCCAATATTGTAATACGTGTTTGAAAAGGCATTCATAATTTACTCATCATATGTAGAGATGAAAAAGATCATGGAAAAATTCAAAACAGGCTCCAAGATTTTGGAACTAATCTATCAAAGAAAAAACCCCCAAGATATTACCAGACACAGGTAACGGATCATTCAGGTTCACCATCTGCAAAGGATAACATATAGAGTAGATTGCTCAATTGCCAGTGATAACTGCAGCCATAGAGCTATCACCTTAGTATAACCAGATGTAACCTCTGTTACTGCAAGGGAAGGCAATGCAGAGAATCTCATAGAGGCAAACTGAGTACAATTTGCATAGTGGCTAACTAAGTGAGTACTCTGTTTTAATGCCAAAGACACCCACACATCTGTTAAAATGTTAATAGGAGAGGTTCCTATATGCTTAGAAGACCTGATACTGTGAATGTGTCACACCCGCAACTGTAGTTCATACTTTAGGTATTCCAAGTACCCGGCACTTGAAAAGAATTAAGACAGCATAGTGCCATTATTCAACACCAATCTAATACAGTAATTTAAAGTGATTTTGAAGTCAATAGGCTTCATTCTTCTTTACATTAAGAGCTTTTACACCATTCCAACAATGTAAAGGATCTAACTAATATTTTACTGCTTTTATGTCCATTTAGAGTGCCCAAAGGTGCAGATAAAAGTGGCAATTTTCACCCAATCTGGCCATAGAAAGCAGTTTATAGCTGTGACCAAACACAAGTGCATGGCTGCAGACAGCTTCAAAAATGGCTGATCGGGTGAAAATCTGACCCCTTTTTGCATGAGGGATGAGGTAAAGACATTTCAAAATATAGCATCTTTCGTGACTTGTGTCTGCTGAGCTCCCAGCCTGGAGCTGTTTTCAGAATGGGAGGTGGGAAAGGTAGTGGGGGGCGTTCAGTCTGGGGGGGTTTCAGCCCCCCCCCAAGGTATGGCAGATGTATCGGATCCCCCAGCTGGGGACCCCCAAGAACGAGCTCCCTCTGCTGCTTTCCTGCCCTCCCAAAACAGCACACACTGGCAGAAAGCCCCGGCAGTTGCTATGGCAGCAGGCTCCCAGCCCACAGCGAGGTTCCACTCCCCCCAGAACCAACAGCGAACTTCT